TCCACCAAGTCGTTTATTGACTCTAGAGGTGCACCGATCCAATATTCGGGATTGGTATCGGCACCAATCCATGCCTATTAGATGGATCGGATAACGGCTATACGTGACCGATCTACGTCCGATACTTACTTATTTAGTTTTCAGAAGTCTGTAATAAGATAGCTCCTATTTCTTGTTAAATCGATTTGCGCAATGAATCGCACGGGAGCTCTTTCCCATTACAGATGTTTTTTGTGGCATTCAAGCTGAACGCTAACCCTGCCACTCAGTTCTTTTGCCACTCAGTGGGTGTGAGCACAGTGACTTCCGCCTGCTGTGACATCATATGCAAACCCTTTTCGGTAGGAGGAGCAAAAGAACCTCACAGTGTTTCCCCTACCATTATATTATGGGGGCGCCCCGCCCCCTCAACGGCACCTCCCAGCCCCCCCTTGAAAGTACAGTTAATTTCATTTAATTTAATTTTCTATATAGAGCCAGAACACAACAGAAGTCATTTAAGGTTACCTTTCCTATAGAACAGGTCTATACATTGTCCTTTTATTAAACAAACTAAATAGTCTGTATCGCATGCGGCGGAATTCCGCCCCGATGCGCTCGCACAGACACGTGCCTGCACGCACAGACACGTGCCTGCACACACAGGTGAGCACACTCCCACCAGCGGACAGAGACCATTCGTCGGAAAATATGTCGCGTCAACCACCTGTAAGGCAGGGTAATAAATACATTTCACAATGGGATTTTCTGCTTTAAATTATCACTATTTTAAGCTATCAGCTATCACAGATTAACATTTAATGTACCATCTTGCAGCCTGCATGCGGATCTCAATAAATCGGCCAGATGTTTCTGACTTCCTATATCAAGAGGCTTTAGAAATGTTCTTCCAGGAGCCCAGATAGATAAACTACATTGACAAAAGCTGCACACTTTGTGGAAAATTGTCATAAAAAGAAATGTTCTGATGTTTAGTCCAGTAGTTATATTGACTGCTGTCATTAAAAGAAACACATGAACACCATGAATCCTGTCGATGTCCATGTGCCCCCCCCCTCCCCCCAAAGCTGTAAACCTAGGGGAAACACTGCATCAGATAAGTGGGTGACCATCTGTAAGTATTTTACCCTTAAAACACTAGTTGCACAGTAATTTGCAATATTTGTAAAAAAAAAATAAAAAATTCTGAGAAGTGGAAGTAGCGTGTAGTGGAAAATCCCACTAAACAAAGCACACACAATTGTGCGAGACAACACGAGTAATATGAAAAAAACAATGGATGATTAGGGAGTTTGCTAGCTTGGGCTGTTTTGAGCATTTGGTGCAGCTTGTGATACACGAGGGGATGCTGTCGCAATGAAGTGATGCTGTTGCCAGTGGGTGAAAAACTGCAGCATTTTAAGCATTCGCCACTTGCATATACACTCACAGAAGATATTAAAATTGAACTGCAAATGCCTCAAAAACGAGAACAAAAACTTAAAACAAGATGTACAAATGAGGTGGAACAGTACGTTATGTATTTTTCTAGTAGCCTAATTAACAAAGCTTTTTGGCATATATTTTTCATTTTTATTTACTAGTTTAAAAAAAGAGCTCCTATATCAGATCAATATTCATATCAACCAATATCCTCTGGTCAGGTATCGGGATCCTACCGGCACTAAAAGAAGTGGGATCAGTGCACCTCTAATGATAATATTAAAGTAAAAAGAGCTCTTGTGTTGGAATCTGCATCAGTACTGGCAGTTGTGTATCTGAATTGGATGAGAACTGAAAAAATGTGGATTGGCCCATCCCTAATTGACTCATCACAAGCTGCCAAGATTAATCATTAATGAAACATGTCAGCCATAAGATCTGGGCCTGTGGATGGCTCTGCTGTGCATCACACACTCAGCAGTGGTGTTTACTACCACTCAAATTTTGAGGTCCCATTGCCCATAAATAGTCACTACACAAAATATTAAACAAACACATTCCTTACTTAGGAGATAGTGAAGCAGCATGTTCTGCTTACTGGCTAGATGGCAATAATCTTCTGACAATATTCACTAGCTATTTATTTCATTTTTGAAAGGGGGGATGCAGAGCAAACTTTTAATTGGAGCTCCAGAAACAACAAACCTGCCCTGCACATGATCCAGCACAGATGGAAATAAAACTCATGGATCTGTGTCCTGAAGATAGTGAACAGATGAAGATGACCAAGTCTAATTCAACGCTCCCTGGAGACCAGTCTTTGAGCAGCACAAAACAGACGGGATGCATGGAACACGCTGCAAAAATCTCATACCTTAGTTTGGAAGTTTAACCTGCAAACTGTTAGCATTCATAATGTTTGGCTAATGTTCACACCTTTTCTTCTTTAGCAGATGGCACAATTGAGATCTCATTTTCTGCTAAATATTTACTGGGAATCTAGTACGTAAAAAGTACTAAGGAGTGCATGAAAATGTCTGAGGGGCTTCGCTAAATGTGTGTCCTAAATATCAGAGAATTGGAGATTATTTTTTTCCATATGTTGAGCCTCAACTCCTGGAATGGGTAAAATTATCTTAAAATTATATTAAGTGCACCTTCATAATGCATTCATAGAACATCCAGTGCACCTTCATAATGCATTCATAGAACATTTATAAGCAGCATGCAAGTAAACCTTAACATCCTAACATCCCTTAACAGCTTTAATATACATTAATAACAAACGGTACATGATTATAGAATTATAATGTTTGTTATTATTATATAATGGTTGTTAGTAATGTATATTACAGCTGTTAAGGATGTTAGGATGTTAAGGTAAACTTACATGATGTTTATGAATGTTTTATGAATACTTAATGAATACATTATGAAGGTGTATTGAACCTTTTATGAATGCAATATAAAAGCATTATGAAAGTGCAGTTAATGTAAAGCGTTACCAATTATCCATAGTAAAAGTACAATGCGAATCCATATAGACCCGATAAGATGAGGAAATTTATATTTTAAAACAATGTAACATAATTTTAATCCTAAATCCTATTTGAAACCACACAATTATTCAAAAATAAACATTTAGTCTATTTATGAAAGATGTCACATTTTCACAACAAATTCCCCCTTTTAAACTGCTTGTTTCATTATAGCCATTTTAATTCTAATAGGAATAATTAATAAGACAACGTATTAATCTGTCAAATTAGCTTACAGGTGAAGAACAATGACATGCAAAATGTGCTTCACTGGAACTGAATTAAATAACTGTTCAAATCGGTAAATAAAAAACTGTAAACTTCTTTTAATAAAAGCACTAGCCAAAATATATGTAAAAAATCAAGTATGTATATATTATTTAAATGAAATAAAAGCTTTCATCTGCATGAGTCAAGTGGTGCAAGTTGTCCTGGCATGGCTACATTTGCCCCCAGGAAAGTACATCAACACATAAACTCATGGTGTTCCAGCAACTCGCCAAATCACTCTGTGCTCAATATGGCTGGTGTTTCAGCCTGATACTCATAAAAATACTTCCATCTGTTTAGCTTTGAAAAAGTAGGAATTACTCACTCTGAGCATTTATTACATCTATGCATAATTAGATGAAAAGTCTACTCAGAATATTACCTCAGCAAACGTTCATCTGGAGAATAAATATATATATATACACTCATCTAAAGGATTATTAGGAACACCGTACTAATACGGTGTTTGACCCCCTTTCGCCTTCAGAACTGCCTTAATTCTACGTGGCATTGATTCAACAAGGTGCTGAAAGCATTCTTTA